GTGTGTGCGTGTGTGCGTGTGTGCGTGCGTGCGTGCGTGCGTGCGTGCGTGTGTGCGTGCGTGTGTGCGTGTGTGCGTGTGTGCGTGTGTGCGTGTGTGCGTGTGTGCGTGTGTGCGTGTGTGCGTGTGTGCGTGTGTGCGTGTGTGCGTGTGTGCGTGTGTGCGTGTGTGCGTGTGTGCGTGTGTGCGTGTGTGCGTGTGTGCGTGTGTGCGTGTGTGCGTGTGTGCGTGTGTGTGTGTGTGTGTGTGTGTGTGTGTGTGTGTGTGTGTGTGTGTGTGTGTGTGTGTGTGTGTGTGTGTGTGTGTGTGTGTGTGTGTGTGTGTGTGTGTGTGTGTGTGTGTGTGTGTGTGTGTGTGTGCGTGTGTGAAAAAAGTATTTCTTGCATGTTTTGTTGTCTGGATACACTCTCCGATTCGAGCAAAACGCCACAACCGAGCGTCAGTATTATTCACTATGGATTTATTTAAAAAAATTTAATTTCACTTACTAATAAAAACCAACAAAACAAAATAATTATCGTGCCTTGGCTGGCTGGACTACAAAAATTACTGGTTAGATAATATAAATATTGAAATAACAGTAATTGTGTATATTTTCCTAATACACGTTTCTCATTTCGTCGCAATCAAAAATAATATGTTTAATTTTAAAAAATATTTTTGTTAGTGTGGGTAGTTTTAGTGGCTTAATATGTTTTTGAAAAAAAAATTCTTTATTTTACAAGTTTAGTGTTAAGCTTAGAGTCTTAAGCACTTGCTTATATATGTCGTAGGATAATCAGATATATATAATTTTCGGAAAAAATCTAGGGATATCGCGAAAACACGGATAATTAGACAATGGCTATGACATTTCTCAATCTTACTGAAAAAATATTAGGGGTTTTGCAACTTTGAATATACTTAACTCTGATTGACTTGATTTTATAGTTTATGAGTAATGTTTTTTTTTAAATTATAACCTCACTTTTTACACAGGAATATTAAGGTCTTAGTTCACTAAGTTACTTCTGTAACAGCTTCGGCGCTGCGGGAAGTGCAGCCCCTTCGCCCTTACCTCAACCGCTACGGCTCGCACGGGTGACTGAGATATGCTACGGCGGGTGGGGACTGCTACGGCTTTACAAAAAAACACTCTAGGGATAGGGTTTTTACATGGTAGAGCCATGCTGCAGTTATATTAGTAGTATAGTTGTAGCACGAATGGATCGGCTCGACCGGGGAAGGACCACGCTCTCACAGAATACCAGCGTCAAATAGTAGCTTAATGCTGATGTGTTTCGTATGGTGAGTGTAGAGAACCGGAGACCCTTTTTACTGGAAACGAGGCATTCCACCTAAGTCCTCACAGACGATAACGCATCTGCATTTTGATTCGTAATCGAGGATAGATGTAGATGTCTATGGGTCACAGCAACCACTTACCATCAGGTGGGCTGTGTGCTCGTTTGTCATCCTATTCTATAAAAAAGGGCAGACAAGACTACGTGAAATAGGAGCGTGCTGATTCGGTTTTAGAACAGATTCGACCAATCATCTAATTATCCGTGTTTTCGCGATATCCCTAGATTTTTCCGAATATTCGATTTATTTAATTATCCTACGACATAATATATAAGGTGTTAGGTGTTATAGTTATCATAACATATGGGTAGACCTTCTAAACGCGCTGCTCTACAAAGACAGCGATGGTTGAAGAAAACAAACAATTAAATGAAAGATCGTTTGAGAAAAAATGAGGAAAGAAACTCAATAAGTATTCCAAAAGAAAATGATGAGCAGCGTGGTAGTATAAGCTTTCACAAATGAGAGATTAAACAAATTCTACCAGACTTAACGAAAGTCCAGAGCATCGTGCTAAATAATACCGTCTGATATACGAGCGCTTATTAAACGATATGAAGAAGTACTTTATCATTAACTGAACAAAACAAAAAAAAACTGAAAAGCTTCTTACCGGCTCTGCTTAATACATGAGCGTCTATTAAACGAAACCGAAGAGCAACGTTTTCACCAACTCGGCTTAATACACGAGCCTTTATGAAACGAAACTGAAGAGCAACGTTCACATCAACTCTGATTAATACGCGAGCATTTATGAAACAAAACAGAAAAGTGACGCTCTCTTCTCACCGACTCGGCTTGATACACGAGTGTTAATCAAACTAAACTGAAGAACAACTTTCCTACTGACTCGGCTTGATACACGAGTGTTTATCAAACTAAACTGAAGAACAACTTTCCTACTGACTCGGCTTGATACAAGAGTGTTTATCAAACTGAACTGAAGAACAACTTTCCTACTGACTCGGTTTGATACAGGAGTATTTAATAAACTAAATTAAGATTGTTTCGATTAGATTCCGTGTGGCAAGCGAGTTACTCTTATGGGGACGTATCTAGTAAAAATTATTATGAAAGGGCTATTAATATTTTCGCACATTTTCCATGTACCGTTCGTAATAAAGCGTTATATCCTATTTACAAACGGCGGAAAAAAATTCATCTAAATCGTTGGTTGTTGTTTCCGAGGGAGTTCACAATTTTATTTTATGAGGTATTCTCATCTGATTGAGTTGTTCATGTTTATAAAAGAAAATTATATATTCACATGAATAAATATTAAAGTAAATAATAAAAAATAAATAGATCTTTTATCAGACCTTTAGTTGAAACTCAAAAAGGTCTAAAGTCTTCGTCAAGATTAATCATATGAGCCGGAATACGCTACAAAACTTTATCTTGGAGTTCCTCACGACTGCCTTCAGTTCCTATAACTAGATCCACTTGAGGTTACCGCAATATTGTTAAGTCATGTAAACTACGGCTATTTGCCAAGTTTCATTAGAATCATCGGAAGTTGATGAAATTCAAAAATTACGTTAAGAAGAGTTCAATATACAGAGATTTAAATATATCCTATATCTTTAAATGAGTAATTCTTGAATATATATATATAATCAGAATCTCGGAAACGGTTTTCGGGGGCAATAAATCGATCTAGATAGAATTCATTTTTAGAGAATTTCTTTTTGTTCGTGTTTTCAGGCAATGAAAAACTGCTACAATATAAGAAGATAAATTTTGACACTGTGTTAATGAGCGTAGTAGCTCAAGTGGATATCGTGCGGTTGCGAAATCGTAATGCCATGGTTTGCGTCCTGTCTTCGCTCCGACTTTTTTCCTTTTTTTTCAAGTTCCCTTCTTTTGTGAGATAATCTATTATTTCGGCCCTTTTTTAGTATTTTTTAAAAATATGAAAATTTTAATTAAACTAATTGCACTCATGATTTTTTATTCAAATAACCAGTTCAGTTTTTTCTATTTTGTCAATAAGATCAAAAAATATTATTCATCAGTATGTAATTTGTATCTAAATGTAATTTCAAAAAAACCGAGGAAAGCTCGGTCATTCGGGTACTATATACTATACAGCGGACAATGGGAACATTTGTATACAAAAACTGTGAGCACGCGCGCGTGTTATGCCCTCTAGCGAAAAATCGCAATACTACGCTGAATATTTATTTGGAAAACATTTTAGCTATTTCCCATTAGGTGACGCTTCTAAGCATGAGATAAAAATCCGTTTTAGGCACGTCGTCAATTACTAACATATTTGTAAATAAATAGTGACATTTCTGGATAACAGAGGGCACTTATTACAATAATTTATCTTTCTTCTAGAACAATTTACCAGAAATAATAAAATTTAAAATTTATTTGGTAAATATACATTATTCTTTTAATTTTTTTCTCTATATCATGACTATACCTCACTATACCTTACTGTACTACCTCACTATACCTTAATACACTACCAGGCATAATTTCTTTAAAAATATTTTTTTTAATTTATGATACGAATGCGTCTTGACCTTTTGGTGATGTCACTTAGACTAAATAACAAAAATCGGGGATATATCCTATAGGCCAAAAGTTACAGAAGACAATTTTGTTGCTGATGTCAGGTCTATTACTACTAAACTACTTAAATGTCTTTGGCTCAATATGAGTCTTTTTCTCCTATTTTCCACTCTTAGGGCCAGAATTTTTCTTCAAAATGAGACCACTCTGGAGGTAAATCTTGCTTAGTAAATAATCATTGATATATGATATTTCCTTTATCGATAAATTCCTTAAAAGGGACTTCAATATGGAACTTTTCCCCTGTTTTCCACCCTTAGGAGTGGAATATGTTCTTCAAAATATATTGGAACTACCCTGGAGACCTATTTTAATAATTATCTGTTAAAAAGTAATCACTGAAATTGTTTTACAAATCTGCAAACATATCATACAAAATTCCATAAAATAAGTCAAATTTTTTCCACCCTTAATAAATAAAAAATTCCACCCTTAGCGGCGGAATTTTTCCTTCATAATTTAATAGAACCACCATTGAGCTAAAGCCTATTTAATTAAAAAAAATTAAATCGGTTTACAATCTGCGAAAATACATACAAAAAAATCAACATACATTTGTATTGAGAACATCCTCTTTTTTGAAGATAAAACAACTTTCTTTGACTGAACTAACTTTAGTCTAGACAACTTTTGCTAACCACCGATTTAAAAGACAGGCTGCTTATTTATACAATGTAGGTAGTCCACAAAAAATTTAAATGTTTATTTACTGAGCTCTGATGAGCTCAAAAAGACAGTCACTTAATTATACAAAATCCTTATTAAAAATATAGGCTTAGTTTCTTTTACTTTTTTTTGTGATAATTCAATTCTTGCTGTAGAAGACTGGGGCATTCTGCTACTAGTATATATGTAAATAATAGGAAATCCTACTTACACCCACACCTATAATTAAAAAAATTACATAGTTCTTTCTTTCTTAGACAGGATAACAAGTGCCGGATTAGTTAATAGAAAAAACCTCATGTCATTCACAATTACTGTTTACAATTAGAAGCATCATGATAATGAATATTAGAGAGCATCATGATAGAACCGGGTTCAAAACAAAGATAGTAAATTCTTTATATATTTTAATATCTCAACCAATACATATCAGATCTTATTCTATTATAGTCTGGCAAACACTCCGTTGGACCAATTGCGGACACTACTGGACATCTGTCATAAATATATTTGTGTCCGACCTCTTTTATAATTTTTGCAGTAACATAACTCAAATTTTTATATTTGTCAAGCAACGAAAGACGCTTATTAGTATATAATATTTGCAGACCAATATCATAGCTGGAATTCATAACATTTTCAACTTCCTTTGCCAATTTAAGTTTTGCAAAATTAACTCCTCTCTCCACTTCAGAATCCGTAATACTTGCGCAAAAATGCATCCACTGTTGTTGAACATTATGTAAAAGGTCATCCAAATTTGTGCTTTGAGCTACATAATATACGCCCCAAAGACCCGTATCTCGGTAAGCAATATAAAAAGGCTCATAGGACTCACAGAGATAATTCGAAGCAGCTGCCCGAGATAAATAAGCACCATGAGAATCTCCTCCACCTTGACTTCTATCCCAACTTCCCAAAATACAGTTTGCGACAAAAAGGGACCAGTAATCAGGATTTCCATATCCAGGAACCTCCAAAGCTATTGCGACATGAGCAAATGGCATAGAATCATCACGATACACTATAGATGAACCTGTATAACGACATATCTCATGATTTGAACAATTAATTTCATCAGAGCAAATATGACTAAATCTTTTCTGTGCATGACTAAATATTTCCACATGCTTTGTGCCTCCTGAAATAGCCAAAACCATGTTTTCGGGTTTATACTGTTTGTTTATAAAACAACATGCTTCATAACCATCAAACTTTTCAATATTTTTTATAGATCCAATAACGCGTTGCGCCAAAGGTGTTCCTTGATATGCTGCCTGGTGCAAATAATCAAACACTACAAGTTTAGCTGAATTTTCATAATCTGTAAGTTCTTTAAATATGTCCTTTTTCGCTAATTGAATTTCGCACTCTGAATACTCTAAATTTGTTATTATTTGAGACAAAATATCAATCAAATCTGTTGTATATTCACTAGTACACTTTCCTGAAAATATTTGGATTTCTTTAGTAGTGACTGCAGTGAGTTGAGCGCCGATATTATTGAGACATTTATCCAGTTCATTCTTTTTCATTGAACTGAATCCTTTAAACGCCATGTGTTCTATAAAATGGCTTACGCCGTTATTATCTATTGTTTCAAACCTTGGGCCACTTTCGATAAATAATGAAAGGCATACTAGAGGGGAGTGTGTTTCTTCTACTGCCACTCTGATACCATTTTTGAGAACAGTCGTATTTGTTACCAAACAACGTTTGGAAAATGAAAGTGTTGAAAATATTTGACATGATAATATGCGACGAAATGGATTAAACATTAATCTGTAGCTATACCAAATACCAAAGGTAAACTTGTTCACAATACTTTATTCTGAATTAATGGTACTTAGTGATACAACTTTTATGTTATTGCGAAATGATTGACAATTGTAAAATTTTAAAGTCACACGTCACACTTTTCTTTTTTACACTCTCACTCATAGACATAGCAAATTACCTTTTTATAACATTGTTCGAGAACATAATTGATTCTACGATGAACAGTGATCGGCATAGGTAATGCTATTCCCGCAATTTAGTGACCGTTATCTTAACGTGAATATTCTTTTTGAATCCCGTGAATATACTATTTATTTTATTAAACCGATTTTTTTTAGAACTATTTTGGGAATTTGTATTTTATATACCTTTTCAGCTTTATGTACCTACATATTTTAATAGTCACTAAAGTCATGAAGCCTTTGCGCGGTGAGGTACGGACACGGTTTCGCATTACTCATTCAATATAATCTAATTTAAAGAATGTTTATGGCTTGTTCGAGATTCTACATTATTTTAACTTTCCATCTGTGTAGAATAAAAGCTGACTCACCTTAGATAAGTTTGAATAATAAAATCAAGATTTAGGCTTGAAATTACACGAGCGGCCGACAGTTGCGAGATTGACTTTACGATTTTTTTACTCCTAATCTAGAAAGTCTATATATATGTCACACTTAGGACAAATATATTTTTGTCTAGAAGTTGTTGTTTTGATTTTATCTTTATTATTTAATCATCTTCATATTTCACAAATTATTATAATTAAAAAACGGTGTTGGTTAAGATATAATAAGAAGATTCAGTTTCTCAACCTTAATTTTACATATGAGCGAACGAACTACAAACAAGGTGATTTCTTACGATTTGTAACACAAGAATTTGTTTCACATTGAAAAGTCATTTTAGTTGTACTCACGACGAAATATCTAGCTACCCATTTCCAGTATGATATATGTGGATCCCGATATTGACCAGTAATATCAAACAACACCGCGCTCTACCAGCTTATACTGGAAATGAGGAGTTTATTATTACGTCGCGCGTACTCGAGATTTTGTTATAGAATAACGGTGACAAACGAGCACACAGTTCACCCGATGGTAAGTGGATACTGTGGCCCACATGCATCTACGTTTATCCTCGATTAAGAATCAAAACGCAGATGCGTTGTCACCACTGAGAACTAAGATGGAATGCCTCGTTTCCAGTAAAAAAAGGATCTCCAGGTCCCTTCACTCACCATTCAAAACACCTCAGTATTAAGCTGCTATTTTACGCTGGTATTCTGTGTGAGCGTGTTCCTTCCCCGGTCAAACCAACCCATTCGTGCTACAACCATAATATAGCTGCAGCGTGGCTCTGCCACGTATACTAATATTTTAAAAAGTTTAATTTCATTTAATTCATCAACATTCAGTAAAATATTTGCAATAATCCCGGGGCATGTCCATATTAGCATTATTATTCAAGTTCATTGGCTCAAAATGGCACTACCTACGCCGATCACTAATAATGAATATCCGCTTCGGCTGTGTACTTAAGAAATCCGCCTCCGTATTTTACGGTCCATAAACAAAATTTTATAAAGTTATTTATTGTAAATATTATAAAGTTATATAGTATTTAAGATATGCACACAGTCGATGGATGTATATAGCACAGAACTGTGTTTTATGTCATTCCTTATGTTCAGTAGTGGACTTCTGAAAAGCTGTAAAGATAATAATGATGATGATGAATATTAAAACACTGTGTTTAAGAACCTAACTTATCATTTAACTTCTTTCAACAAGACCAATAATAAAACAGAAAGTAAACCAAAACACTTTAACATGAAATTTACACTCACACACACATTTGTACAATTTAGTTACGATAATGTGCTACTAGATATAACTATTTTTAGCTGGTTTTACCTAGGACAAAGGTTTTTTCCGAACTCCTATCCAATGGCAAAAATATTTACTATCAACAAACAATATTTAATAACACTAAAATCTATATCGAATAAAGGTATTTTGTTCTTTTCTATTCTATTTATCTTGATTTACTTACTACAACTCAATCCTAAGATACTTAAGCTTAAGATGCATTCACAGTCTATAAAATCGCTTAAGTTTTAACGTTTTATGTGATCGTTTGTATTGATTCCATATAATAAATAACTATTTAGCACGCTCAGCAGGCTCTAAAATTCAATTAAACATATATATATTTTTGTAGTAACATATTCGTTCATGTGGTTAAAATGCCTGATCCTCCGAATCTTGGGCGTTCTTTATTTGTGCTAAAATAAACAGTTTACTTTTGAAACTGCTTGGCTCAAACTCAGCGAATAATTTCTCAGCACAGGCATATAAATTACAAAAACGTTCACGAAAATGACGTAGCAAAAAAAGCGTTAGGTAGTCGTACCAAATGGTAATTGTTAGATGCCCGCTTCTATGGAAAATATATAGAGAAAATCATAGAATACTGTAGGAAAAATGCTTACAGTCATTGTTGATTCGCAATCCAGCAAATTGGGACGCCCCAGGCGTTCAAATGGAATCTAACATAATTTAAATAATAGACAGACAGACAGAACAAAATCATGAACTGGTCGACCAAAATGCGAAACAATCCAGTAAAATCTGCTACCCTTTGAAGCTTCATTAATTTATTTTTCATTCTCATAGTGCAACGTTACCTTAAATATCACTTAGTTATTTAAAATTACTTTTATATTTTTTAATTTCTTTTAATATTTATAAATTAAGTTTGATGTTAAATTACTTAATATGTAGAATACATTTACTGCTTAGATATTCTAATCAAATTTACACTCAATTCTTTTTAACATCGGCCAAATTGCTTGAATACTACTTCACCAGACCGATTTACACTTCGACAAGTACAGAATACAGAATTTTTCTGGTTTTCGTTTAAGATGGTTCTAGAATTACGTCAAGAATTAAATGATCTAGTCAGAGAGGTATTAATGATTGTTGTTAAAGTTTTTAAGAATTTTCATGAGTTTTTCATCTCGAGCAGATTTAATTTTCTTCTTGAACTTCTACTATTATATAAACATTCGTGTTCTAAATACTCCTGTACAAATTTATACATTCTATTTTCCGTCCATTTTATTATTAAAACTCAATATAAAACATATAAACATTCAATAAACAGTATCGTACAAACTTTGTGGCGAGTTTACAATTGTGCGTTTTGGCGCGCAAACGTTGCGTCCTGTCAACTTATGCACTGAACTAAACTCGCTCGTTTACACGAACAGTGAGTTTAGTTGAGGGTGGCGAGAGACGCGCGTGAGGGCAACACTTCGCACTTAACTCGCCGAAAAATAGCTCGGCCGGCTATCCCGTTCAACTTAATCGTTAACTTGCTATATAACTCACTCATTGCCGTTCAAACGAGGTTCAAACTTAACTCGCCAGATTCACAAGTTAACTCGCTACTGTACTTGTCGAAGTTTAAATCGGTCTTTACGGTAAGTGACGTAATCTAAACTCGTAAATAGTACTGACTTAAGGGGAAATATAACCTCAAATGGCTTAGCAAGATCCTCCGTTATGCCGAAAGTATTGCAGCATTAATTTTGAAATAAATATATGGTAAAGTTGAGGATTAATGTTAAGGTTTATGTTAGACGAAAACACGATTCCGTAAAATTTTCTCGATAGAAAAAAAATCCAAAGTTACCTCCAAACTGAACAATAAACCGCTGTTATTCATAAAATACTTTAAATAAGATCATGAAACTTTGCATACTAACTGAACTAACCATAAAGCAGTGCTTATGTTATTTACTTTTTTTAAAATATCATTATTTTCCTGTCAGGAACCAAGCTTACGCGCCGATAGTTTAGGTAATTTCTTTTTACAGTGAAAATAATGATATTTTAAAAAAGTAAATAACATAAGCACTGCTTTATGGTTAGTTCAGTTAGTATGCAAAGTTTCATGATCTTATTTAAAGTATTTTATGAATAACAGCGGTTTATTGTTCAGTTTGGAGGTAACTTTGGATTTTTTTCTATCGAGAAAATTTTACGGAATCGTGTTTTCGTCTAACATAAACCTTAACATTAATCCTCAACTTTACCATATATTTATTTCAAAATTAATGCTGCAATACTTTCGGCATAACGGAGGATCTTGCTAAGCCATTTGAGGTTATATTTCCCCTTAAGATGTGATATTGTAATTTACTTTTACTGTAATTAAAATTATTTTATTTTACTTTTAACACACCTATATTAACTTGGACTGTATATTTCTATGTATGTTTTTATGTATGAAAGTACGTATATATGTATTTTAATTTTTAGTTTAGGTTTAAAGAAATTGATTTTCAAAAAAGACAAACAATGGCACTTACATGAAAATAATAATTACATTTTAGTAAACTTATTAAATCGCCGAACACTCAGTCAATAGCTTCATAGCCTCAGTAGAATGGTGAAAAATTTTCAATTATATATTGAGAAAGTTGAGACTTAAAACTACTAAATGAGTTTATATTTTTTATATTACTAGGCAATTTATTATAAATCTGTGCCCCTTCAAAGGTAACGCTTTTTTCGCGTGGTTTGTTCGTACCTTTGGTAATACAAGTAAGCTAGTAGACATGTGTCTATAATGAATTGATTCGTTCGTTTGAGTTGGTACATTTAAAAGTATTGATTGTTCATTCATCTGTTTTTGAATGTTCCGGTACAACCAATCACAAATAATCGACGGAATCTTTTTAACTCGCAATTGGTGTGAATTTTGAATGAGTCGAAAACCGACCGAATCCCGAATGATCTGAATGAATTTTGTAGAGTTATGCTACTTACATATCATTTTACACTATTTTAAATTTATTTTTCTATTCTGTTTTTGATTTTCTGCATTAGCCTCAAAACTGGATATTTTGCATCACCTTTATTTTCATAGGATTCTGTAACGTTTTTAAACCATAAGAACACAATAACAAATCATTTTCACATCGTATTTTCACGTTATCAGTACTTTTTAAATCGGTATCAATGGAGTCTACCTTTTTCGGTATTTTATTTAGTTCTCCGTAACTCTGCAATTTCGTGCTTCGTGCGCACTGTTGCGTTACCTTTTTTCCTATATCAATAATATCTCATTTTTCACTTAAATCTTGCCGTTTCTCTATTACGAGCCTAAAACCAAAATTTGACATGTTTTGACATCGTTGTTTATCTGGTTGTTATGGCAATTTTTATTCAAATATTAGTTAGTTAGTTACCGGCCTGATCTTTTTACTTCAAAAATACTCTTTTCTTCTTGGCCATTTACAAAAATTTGCTTTTAATTTAAATAATTTCAAATAATTTCTCGTTCTTATCCCAGATCCGTCAAAAAGTATAAAAGCCGAGGAATCGGCCAATAGAGGTTCTCACTTCAGCTTTGATACGAGAAGCACCTCTTAAAGGCTTTATCCGCACTTCCTCGGGATCTTGCAAGCCTCTGCCTTCTCCTGAAGTCGTCGCCTAGCCACGCCTACGCCTCCACCTATTAGTGCCCGCGCTATCTTCGGCCGCTGAGCGTGCTTGTCTCAAGCGCTGCGTGTTCCTACTCCAGACGCTGCGTGTCTCCGGCGCTCCGGGCGCTGTGTGTGTCTACTCCGGGCACTGTGTGTGTCTACTCCGAGCGTTGTGTGTGCTTACTCCGAGCGGTGTGTGTGTGCCTACTCTAAGTGCTGCGTATACCTGCTCAATACGCTGTGTGTACCTACTCCAGACGCTGCGTGGACCTACTCCAGACGCTGCGTGTCTACTCCAGGCGCTGTGTGTGTCTACTCCGGGTGTTGTGTGTGCTCATTCTGGTCGCTGTGTGTGCCTACTTCAAGCGCTGTGTGTACCTAGATTAGGCGCTGTGCATCTACCACAGGCATAGCCTGTACATACATTGTTTCCGTACTCATTTATCTTTATTAACTTTTATTTTTTTTAAAAATTGTAATTCACCATCATCACTACAGCCCATCATCACCCTCATACCTTTTTATTTTATAAAAAAAAAAGCTGTAAATATCTTTACAATTTTTTAAATAAATTATTTTCTTTTTGGTTGTTTCGTTGTTAGGTTAGGTTCTATAGTTTTTAATTGTGGCTTTACATTTTATACAAGAAACTGTAAATATCTTTACAAATTTTAAATAAATTATTTTCTTTTTGGTTGTTTCGTTGTTAGGTTAGGTTCTTTAGTTTTTAACTGTCGCTTCACGACATTTTAGCGCCCAACGTAAAAGTTCTTCTCTCTTAATTTTTCTTTTTTCTCTTTTCTTCACCTTAACTACGCCTTATCCATTTCCTTTTGATTTAATTGCTTTCTCTTTCATTCTTAACTCTTTATTTACTCATCCTTATCATATCTTCCAAATTCTAAAACAAAACTTCATCTAGTTTTTCAACTTATCTGGATTATATTTAGACCTACATATAACACTTCACTTACATTCATCACTTTAATATTCTTATTCTAGATAACTTAAAGAGGTACAATTTTTAATTATCTTTTTTATTTCTTAAACTTAACTTTGCACTTAATTATAACAATGAAAAGGGTTATTAAGTACGAATTCCTTAACAAGGCTGAACTCGAATACGAAGTGAAGATTAGATGTGAGGAACCAGCTAATACTGTTTTGCTTCTAAAAAAACAGATTTTGCGTTTAGTTGATAATTCTCACCCTGAAGATATTCTGACCTCTCCAATTCCGATCGAGGATGACTTGTCTCAAATTGGTTCTACTTTGACCTACCTGGACTGTAAAATTGAAAAATTTTTACAAGGTGAAACCAAATACTTACGACTAATAGAAACTTTTATTAATCATGTTTATTACAGATTGGAGCGTATAGATACTGACTTATATGCAGACTTTAAAGCTATTTTCGATACTTTGAAGATGAAATTTGACGCTATTACTAAACAATTCGAATCCTTGACTCCACCTTCAACTGAAAATGACTCTCCATCACTTGACCCTCCTGTTGACCTGACTGTCATGGAACCTCCTCTTGTTTCTCAATCTTCTGTTAAGATCCATACCCCGTATCCTTCACCACCACAATCTTTTTCTCCAACTAACGTCTTCAAAGATCTGAAAAGACACACCTTCAATGGTAAAAGCTGTCCAAGAGCCTTTCTTCAAAAACTTGAAGAATACTGCTTAGCTCGTGGCTTATCCAAAGACTTGTTGATCTCTCAAGCATTTGAAATTTTCACCGACAATGCTCTTCATTGGTTCAGATTTAAATATAATCAGAATCCAAACTTAATTTGGAACGAACTTTCCTCTTTATTAATCAAAGACTTTGGTGACAAAAGACAAGTTAGTATGGATGGTTTTATTACATATTTTCCTAATTATAATGCAAGTATTATATATAGTATAGTTGTTGAACGTTCATAAGTTTTGTTTCTATGAAAATTTTAAAAGTTGGTGTTAGATACGGATAGTGAAAAAGTATTTCTGTGATTTTATTTTGTATACTTTGAAGTTCCTGTAACTTATTTTTAGCATCATTGCCCCAAATTTCTATAAGATAAAGTAAATGTGATTTGACTAATGAGTTATAAATAGTATAACGCATTTTTAGGTAGACAATAGGAAATATTGGGAAGTGATCAAATAAGTGCCGAAAGTTTATTTTTAATGTAATCTATTTGCTCATTCCATGTTAAGTAATTGTCCATTCTCAAACCTAGGTATTTTACGCAGGTTTTATATTCTAACGGGTGTTATCAATTGTCAGTGAGCCATGAAAGGTATAGTTTTGTTCCTTGCTTTAAAAACATATTTCTGACCGACTGAATAACTTTTAAATTTGCAGACGTACGACTAAGATCATCACAGCTCAGGATCAATAATAATAATAATAATAACAATTCTTTATTTCAGATGTCAAAGATCTATAAGTTGTTAGTAGATTAGTAATTGAGAACATTAAATAAAATCAAATTATATCAAAACTAAAATCAAATCGAAACCCAAAATGAATTCACAATAAAATCAAACTAAAAATAATTATCATATAATAGTAATGTCGAAATAAAATACAATCAAAATCAAGTAATGTCAATCAAATTAATTTAAATTAAATCAAAATAAAATAAAATATCGAATTTTCAGAAAATTCAATGCGTGTTGTTTAAGTTTTTTAAACTCTAACATTATGACTACGTTTTAGTTATTGAATTTGATAAAGTATGAATTTTTTTATTTTATAAAGTATGAAAGGGTTTAACCAACAATCATTCCGCGGGATCTAAAACTGCTGGATTGCAATCCCTCGAGACTAGCGTCGTTGGAAGATAAGCATGCGGAAGCCCCGTAGGTACATTAGTTAATTTCAAATACACTAGTGTGGCTTAGATCAAATATTTTTGAACGCCTCTAAGCTTTCATTTTACTTGAGAATTTTTGTCAAATTGAAACTTTTAACATACACACCTACCTAGGAGTAACTTTGCCTACTCCAATAAATGCAAATAAAACAGGTACATATTAGGTACACACTATAACTACAGCCCATCACACTGCTATACACTGGCTTTCCCACTGTTGCAGTTTCGTACTAGTTCAGTGATGATCAACTCCCCGCCAGATGGATTGGCAACCTGATAAAAGACACAGGTAGCCAATGAATGCAGGTGCATGCATTCTTTGGGGTATATGCCTCCCGCTCTTCCGCAGTGGACTTGTGAAGGGGTGTCATGATGATGATAATGATATGAATGTAAAAAAGCGAGAGAGGTGTGTCAGGATCGTGCCAAATGGTAGTCCGTGGTCTCTGCCTACCCCACTGGTTAATAAGCGTGAGTGTTTAGGTATGTATATACTAAAATATTCACTCATTGGAATGAATATGCGACGATAAAGGATATGCAAAACCACTTATCAAAAACACATAGACCTTTCGAAGACGTCTCACACATTTTCCATGAACAAAAAACAAAGATAAAATATTTTATTTAATACCAATATGCAAGTGTATTAAAAACTTTTTACAATAAACTATTTAAAAACATTAATATAGTACTACAGCTAAAACGTGGTGATTATATACTCTTTGCTACTGCATGCATGAAGCTGAGGTGAGGTGTGAAGTAAAAATCAGTAAAAATTGTCACATTTAATATGACAATTTCAAAAATAATTTGTTACTGATATATAGGTTTATGAATATTTTGCAGAAAAGTTAGTTCAGAAAAAAATGTTAAAGAACTGCATACTATTAACACGTGGTTTTGTTTGCTGGAAGCCCATCTCACTAAAAAGGTTCCATTTTAAGCATTCGGCCCATTTTATAAATTTATTAAAGAATCTACCTCAAACGCAATGTTCACAGCTTACAAATGGACTGATTGTAGCTACAGAAGATAGAGAAAGCTACAACACTTGTATAGGACTATATATAGATGCAGGATCACGTTATGAATCTAAGAGCCAAAATGGAATAACGCATTTTTTGGAACATGTTGCATTTAAAAGTACAAAAAGTAGAGATACAACAGTCCTCGAAAACTTAATATTGACTACTGGTGCGAAATTTCAATGTTTTACTACACGTGAAATGAGTGCATATTTCGTAGAATGCTTGTCGTCGGATGTCCCTCTTGTATTTGATATTTTATTAGAATGTATTTTTAACAATGATTTCAATCATGCAGTCATTGAATCGGAAAAACAAGCGGTGTGTTCAGAAATGTTTGAACATGAAAGAAATATCCAAAATACTTTGTTTGATTATTTGCACTTATCTGCTTTTCAAGGAACACCCTTAGAACAGACAGTAATGGGACCGAGTAACAATATTTCAAAATTTAATGAGAAATTACTTAGTAAACTTATATATGAAAGGTTCACACCCGAAAAAATGGTCTTGACAGCGATTGGCGGTGTCAATCACCATCAAATACAAGACTTAGCAAACAAATATTTAAGCAAATTGGAACATGTAAAAATTGATGAACCAAATAAATTTCGATACACTGGTTCGGATATTCGATATAGAGACGATTCACAACCTATGGCGCACGTTGCAATAGCGTTTGAAGGACCATCTTTCCGTGATGACGATTATGCTATAATGGAATTAGCTAGTGCAGTTGTCGGTGGTTGGGATAAATCACAACTAGGGGGACTAGGTCATGGAACACGTGTTGCACGAGCGGCATCTTATGAAGGTCTATGTGATGCTTACAAGTCATTCTACATATCTTATAAGGACACCGGATTATGGGGTACATATTTTATAGCTCCAAGGTTAAACCTAGATGATATGGTATCTGTAATACAAGAAGAATGGATGAAACTGTGTACCATGATAACTGATGAAGAAATTGAGAGGGCCAAGAATCTGTTAAAGACCAATTTACTTACGAAATCTGAAAGCGTTGTAAAAACTAGTCATAAAATAGGTCGGTCCATTTTGTATTGCGCTTGTATTTCACCACTCCATGAGACAATTATGGATATTGATAATATTTCGTCTAATGACGTAAAGGCTGTTTGCTACAAGTATCTTTATGATAAATGTCCAGTAGTTGCGGCTGTAGGACCCATTGAAGCACTAACTGACTATAATAGAATCAGAAGCAATACATATTGGTTGAGATTGTAAGAATATGTAAGAACGATGATGTATGTAACACTTTAAATAAAAAGTTATTTTTCCTTATTACAGAATTTAATTTTGTTTAATAAGTTATTAAAAACTTATTAGAACTTATAATTTTTTGATAAAATTTTAAGCCAAGACCGCCTAACCGATTTTATATCAAATGAGAAATATAGCAGCGACCTGAAACGGGACCAGAACTGGCATTGCAATCCATTAGAGAAGCTATTACGTGACACCGAATGGAGTGGCGACCTCCAAAGACATCCAAGAAGTCGAAGGATACCAGTGACTCAGGAACTGTTTGGTGGTATTCTTCAGGGTATGTCTTAAGCAACGGACTTGTTAAGGGCTGTAATGATGTTAACGATAATATATAGGTTTGATACCGTTAGCTTGACCACCAGCAACAAGCTCACAGTCTCTTTACGCTGGCCTGAAATAAAGCTTAGGCAAATTTCAATCCTAACCAACAAAAAACTTTCACCGATAACTATTTGTAGACTATGTTAAAATATCAATATTTTCATGAGTGAGGGTAACATATTATGACAAGTACTAAGAAATGAGCGTAGAAATAAATCTCCCACCTTTTCGGGCGGTATAAAGTATCGCGCAGGCGACTAATGGGAATCCTGTTCACCAACGACATTCCCATCCCGTCGAAAGCTGTTCAGCTCTCCCTCTTCGCAGACGACACTGCTATCTACTGCAAAGGTGTCTCACTGCCCTTCATACGGAACAAGATCCAAAAGTCAGTTGATGACCTAGGAGCTTGGTTCAAAAAATGGCGCATCGATGTGAACCCGGAGAAGAGCTCCGCCGTTCACTTCGACTATAAACGACGCTGTCTCAAAAACACTCCACCAATACGTATGCTAGGGACCCCTGTCCCCTGGCATACGACCGCCAAATGTTTAGGTGTCACTCTGGACACAGGGCTCACTTTCAGGCCCCACGTCAAAAGAGTAACCCGTCACGCACGGTTTTATCTGAGTAGGCTCAACAGTATGTTGGGCCGACACAGTAAAATGTCCCTCCGAAACAAGCGTACCCTTTATAAGGTCTGTATACGACCAGTCATGTCCTACGCGGGCCCCGTCTTTGCCCACGCAAACCCTAATATTATTAATGAACTCCAAATAGTTCAAAACCTTTTCTTTCGTCGAGCTGCGAACGCACCTTGGTACGTCCGTAATGCCGACCTTCATCGGGACCTAGAGCTCCCAACAATTCAACAATTTCTTAAAAAACTCTCTGAGAACTTCTTCAAAGCCTCAGAGTCGCACCCAAACCAATTAATTCGTAAGGCAGCTTCTTATGCAGCCCCACCCCCCCTCTCGCTATCGAGTCCGCAGGCCGAGAAACTCTCTCTCGGACCCGCCTAATAAACTGACAAACGACCTGAACTGCCTCCTGGCGGCTCAGGCCAACTCTAATTAATTTAAATTATTGTATTAACTAATATTAATTTGCCTTCGTAGGCACTCCCTCAGCGGCTCTTAGCCGCCTGCGCCCTCTTTTCCCAAAAGAGGGTCGCTCACGATAAGGCACAATACAGCTTAATCAGCCGGCTACCTGTCCCCAAAGGCGGTTTATAGAGGGTATCACTTAGGGTCCCCGGTAGGACAGTGAGTCCCTCATAACCACGATAGACCGGCTACCGTGGTATGCGTAATGCATTTTCCGCCTCCCTACGTATAAGGTAGCCCTTTAATTGCTTCGGGCGCAAAAAAAAACTAATGGGAATCAGTTGGTAATTCTACGAGTCTCATACTACGGCCACACTATGGCGATAACGCGAAGATTTGCGTTGTCGCGACACGTCTGGCCAAAGATTTAGTCTTATCACGAATTCTCTTCGCGGTAACGAATGCCCTTGGCGCCTCTGTATTAATTTCTTTACGTGAATGGTTTTTGTTGCAACAAAGTTCGTGCGGTTGGCTAACTTCGCGCGCTTTAGATGACTGCGAGACGCCGAGCAGAAGGTGTTTGATTGAACTTGTTAATCTATTTGGAGTAGTAATAGGATATTAGCATTAATACAAAATTATGAATCTGAACCAGTTTTATGACACTCCCAAGAGCCAAACCACAAGAAACAAAATTTGAATTACGACGCAGGGGGAGAAAGCTAATTTAAGCTGACCTGTTACGTTGGAGGAACTAAAAACAAAAATGAAATCCCTAATGGGTTATTATAGGACGCATCTAAATAAATATAAAAAATCGCTGAAGTCTGGAGCAGGCAAGGACGATATTTATCGAACAAATTGGTTTGCCTTTTTGGCAATGAATAGTTTTGTTTTTGCTCCTGTGTATGAGAAAATATATAAGTAAATAAAACATGCTTTTGCTTATTTATCTATTTATTATTAGTTATAATAGGTTGCGAAATATTCAGCAAATGTGTCCCTTATTTGCATTGACATACAAGCACTTCGCATAGTGACTGTCGGCAGTTATCGCAAAGCACCATCTGCTTGTTGTTCCTGTCTCCACGTGCCTGGGACTACTTATTCGTCTAAAATTGAGTCCATAAAGCCAGCCAAAGCAGACGTGTAGAAATTGTTTGATGTTTTACTATTCCTGAAAAACTAGTGTAGTATTACGCCATCACAACATTTGATGCACGATCTTGATGAAGGGGATTGGTTTCCGTAGTACACGAAATACAGCTGCTATCACACCAAATACGTTCTCAACTATAATCCGAGCTCTTGATAATTCACTGTTAATTTTTTTAACACTTCCTTCTTAATGGTCACCAGGGTATAGTGTTATAATATTAGTGTGCCGTGGGAAGGCATTATCTGACGCAAACACATATTTATAATTTGATTTTCCGAACAGATTCATCAACTTGAGCAATCCACTCCATCACGTCAATCCACATCCCAATCGCCACATCATCAAACATATCTGCCGTCTCCAAATTTATCCACATCATCATACATATTCGTTCAATTTAGATGAGTCCTTCTTCCAGTCGACTCAACGGACTTAAATGATACTATATATATAATATGAAAATAATTATGACAGAAACGGGTGAAATACATCTAGTTGCCGAGAACTTTACGATTAATGAATGACATCTTTTCCATTTTAATTTACTTGATTATAGGTATACTTAATTACTTAGTTTAAAACGACAGTTAGTTATAAGCGACAGTAGCCTAATGGCAGGGCGCGGACCGCGAACTCAAAAAGGTCGTGGGTTCGAATCCGCCATTCGACTACTGGCGTGAACCACTCGTAACACAAGCAATCTAAGCTTACCACGAGTGGTTAAGGGGAATATTAATAATGTTTATAGCATTGTTAATATTCTTTTTTTTTTTTAAAGTAAAACTCGGTCAATTATAATAATTATTTTTACTTACCTTAACCTCATCCTTCAAACAATCAAGATGGCTACACATACTTCATGCACTATTTCATAAATTAGTTGGTGAGATATTTTGAATAAATAATGAAGGTTTCTAAAATTATCTCCAGTAGCTAAATAACGAAGTGCTACTACCAATCTCACTTTTGCCGAAATTGTCGTGTGCTAGCTTTTGAAGTAGAATTTCAAAATCAGATGTAGACATTTGAAAAAAAATGGTCGGGTTCAGCCGGTAATTCTGTAAACATATTATCCATGAAATATCTGAAAAAAGGTACATAGTTTGTGATGTTATGTACTAAGTAGTAGTAAAAACTAGCAAACATCAGCAAAGTTAAACAATATAAAAGTACTTTGTCCGATTTTTGTGTCTCGATAACATTCACCTTCGCCTTTTATTCTTCTTTTTGACCTTTTTTATTTTTGTTAAAATAATAAACATGCAGTAAATAATTATTAGCCGCTGTATCACACAGCGTAACCGCCTCTTCCATGTTTTTCACGAAATGAATTATCGCAACGTTCTAGATTAATGCGACGTAAAGAAGTTTTTTTCTTTGATTTAGTCAAGCACTTCGTCATGGATCTAACACCAAGTTTTATCGTGACAACGCGAACACAAATTTCGTTTTTTACTTGGTAGAGCCATGCTGCAGCTATATTAATTGTGTAGTTGTAACACGAATGGGTCGGCTCGACCGGGGAAGGACCACGCTCTCACAGAATACCAGCGTCAAATATCAGCTTAATGCTGCTGTGTTTCGTATGGTGAGTGTAGAGAACCGGAGACCCTTTTTACTAGAAAAGAGGCATTCCATCTTAGTCCTCAAGGCTGACAACGCATCTGCATTTTGATTTGCAAACGAGTATAGATGTAGATGTCTATGGGCCACAGATACCACTTACCATCAGGTGAACTGTGTGCTAGCTTGTCACCCTTTTCCTATAAAAAAAATCTTCACCTTCGAGTCTGGCCTTGGCGAAAATGTCATTACTATGCCCGTAGGAGTATTCTACTAGTGTAGACAAGGAATGTCGTGTTGCTCAGAAGCTGCCCTGTGTTATATGGGTAGTGTTGCTGGTGGTTTGCATACTTTGGTGTTATCATGTAATTATTTGTCTCACTCCTGTGTGTGATTGTGACGGAGATATATTAGTGTTACGAACTTAGGGTTCGTGACAATAAAAATTGCCGATAAAATTACCTAAATTAACACTTTAATTTACTTTACACAAATTAAAACTTAAAACACTAATAATTAAACACACTAATTCACTTAATTCCGCTCCGAAGCTTCGCTTGTTTCGCCGAGTTTAACTCTGCTCCGATCGCATCTTGCAGCGCCTAGTTATATAAATTAGCAAAATATCCAGAATGTTCAAGTAAACACTAAGCAAAGTACCGAGAGTTCGAGTTTTAAACTTCAAGAAGTTTAGTTCTTCGGTTCGAGACTAGATGGCGCTAGTGCGCCGATTTGAGTGCGGCGTAACACTGCCCCCTCCTAAGACATGCTCGTCCCGAGCATTATCGGCCCCATAATAACGTGCTAGGCGATCCACATGGACGATCTTAGGAGTCCCTCCTGCGCCTTTCTGTAACGGCTCCGCAATG